GTGAGTATTTAATGAGTTCATCAGGCACGAGTCCAGCCCAGTTATTCATATACATTGTTGTTCATTTCAATAGAAGCGTAAACTATTAATACAGGTGTTTAATACAGGTGTTTAATACAGGTGTTTAATACAGGTGTTTCAGTAAAGCTGTAGTTCACTTTCTCGCTAACATAAACATTAACTTAAATTACAGCACTCTCAGTATACTGTATACACTGAGATATGCACCTCTCCTTGTATATACACTGAGATATGCATCTCTCCCTACATATACACTGAGATATGCATCTCTCCCTACATATACACTGAGATATGCAACTCTCCCTACATATACACTGAGATATGCATCTCTCCCTACATATACACTGAGATATGCATCTCTCCCTACATATACACTGAGATATGCACCTCTCCCTACATATACACTGAGATATGCACCTCTCCCTACATATACACTGAGATATGCACCTCTCCCTACATATACACTGAGATATGCATCTCTCCCTACATATACACTGAGATATGCACCTCTCCCTACATATACACTGAGATATGCACCTCTCCCTACATATACACTGAGATATGCACCTCTCCCTACATATACACTGAGATATGCACCTCTCCCTACATATACACTGAGATATGCATCTCTCCCTACATATACACTGAGATATGCACCTCTCCCTACATATACACTGAGATATGCACCTCTCCCTACATATACACTGAGATATGCATCTCTCCCTACATATACACTGAGATATGCACCTCTCCCTACATATACACTGAGATATGCATCTCTCCCTACATATACACTGAGATATGCACTCTCCCTACATATACACTGAGATATGCACCTCTCCCTACATATATACTGAGATATGCATCTCTCCCTACATATACACTGAGATATGCATCTCTCCCTACATATATACTGAGATATGCACCTCTCCCTACATATACACTGAGATATGCACCTCTCCCTACATATACACTGAGATATGCCACCTCTCCCTACATATACACTGAGATATGCACCTCTCCCTACATATACACTGAGATATGCATCTCTCCCTACATATACACTGAGATATGCACCTCTCCCTACATATACACTGAGATATGCACCTCTCCCTACATATACACTGAGATATGCACCTCTTCCTACATAACACTGAGATATGCATCTCTCCCTACATATACACTGAGATATGCACCTCTCCCTACATATACACTGAGATATGCACCTCTCCCTACATATACACTGAGATATGCACCTCTCCCTACATATACACTGAGATATGCATCTCTCCCTACATATACACTGAGATATGCACCTCTCCCTACATATACACTGAGATATGCATCTCTCCCTACATATACACTGAGATATGCATCTCTCCCTACATATACACTGAGATATGCATCTCTCCCTACATATACACTGAGATATGCACCTCTCCCTACATATACACTGAGATATGCATCTCTCCCTACATATACACTGAGATATGCATCTCTCCCTACATATACACTGAGATATGCATCTCTCCCTACATATACACTGAGATATGCATCTCTCCCTACATATACACTGAGATATGCATCTCTCCCTACATATACACTGAGATATGCATCTCTCCCTACATATACACTGAGATATGCACCTCTCCCTACATATACACTGAGATATGCAACTCTCCCTACATATACACTGAGATATGCACCTCTCCCTACATATACACTGAGATATGCATCTCTCCCTACATATACACTGAGATATGCACCTCCCTACATATACACTGAGATATGCACCTCTCCCTACATATACACTGAGATATGCACCTCTCCCTACATATACACTGAGATATGCACCTCTCCCTACATATACACTGAGATATGCACCTCTCCCTACTGTTATTGCTGTTCTTACTGTTGAACAGCGGTTTAGTGCCGATGAAGGTAGCGTAGGTAGCAATGATACGGCCGTGGACTAGATTGGCTTTAATCGGGTAGGAGTGAGTACACAACGGGCAGTGTGAGGAAGTGACCGCAAGCCAGTCCGTGGAGGGGGGAGAACTTGTGTACGGCAAGTCGGTCCAGGCGGGAGTGAGAGAGGGTGGACTGTGTGTCCCACCGACCTAGGTAGGCCTACAGAGGGCAGCACTGAATGCCGCGAAATATGAACTAGTCAGAGCAGACGGCTAGGCTGTGTGCTCTGCCAGTACAGGCTGTCTACATTTGCTCGGCCACGCACCTCGCGTCGTCCCGACGCGACAATACTGGTGGGCCCATAGGTATAAAGGGAATTACACTAGCTACCCCAGAGAGGGACTGGCTTTCGCTCACTAGTAAATAAAAAATGGACAAAAAAATGCAACAGGCAAAAAAAAACTCTCCCATCCAGGGGAAGAGAAAACTGGTTTGCCCGCGCTGTTTCATCGAGTAGAGAGCCGGGAGACGTCAGCACTGGAACTAAAATCTTCTATATACAGGTTGTCCGCAGGGCTGAACATCAGTTGACCACTCGTCTACTAACGTTGTTGCACGCTCACATCTGCAAACAATGACTGACAGTAGCATTTCCTAAGGTGTGACATGTAACTCAGAGGGCAGCACTGCCCTGACCGTAATACAGGCTTTTTCCTTTAGTTAAAAAAAACACTGGTGCACATACATACAATAATACTATATCCATGGAATTCATTACACTCTGGGTACCCTTCTAAAAGTATTTACATAATTACATGATTGTTGTCCACCCTGACTCTATTATCGACTAGCTATACAATGTGTGTGCATTTATACCCATTTCTGCAAGCAAACAATTAGCATAACTAGCGTAGGAGTCGGACAAGTCAGTAGGTACGTCAATGTCACAGAAATGTACTGTTGTCCTGGGTCGCAGGCCATAAGTATGGAGCCTTACTGGGCCGTCTTCCGTACCAGCAGTAGCGGGAGAAGGGGTAGACGGTTTGTCCCTAACATTAGTCTGATCGTGGCGTTGCAACGCACGCGCCTCCAGCTCTACTTCGGCCTGCATATGGTCCACATACTTCATGTGATCAAGGTGGGCTTCCTGATAGCTCCCGTAGCAATCTCCCTCACCTCGAACTTATTGCCACGGAGCTGTCGTAGGACACGGTAAGGACCCACAAACTTTGGGACAAGTTTGTGCATACCTGGGGTCTGCACTGGGTTGAGCAACATAACTTTGCAACCTGGTTCCACTTTGCTTTCCTTGGCGCGGGCATTGCGCTCTGACGTGAACCTATCAGTAGCTTTCATAAGGTTCTCTCGTACCCGCTGGAAGACAAGCTGCGTTGTCCTCATCTTTACTACACTGGGGTTATCAGTATCGTAAGTAGGTCTAGGTGGAGTAAACAGAATTTCATATGGTAAGCGCTTGTCTAGCCATACAAAGCAAAATGAGGTGTCTCACCGATCGAGCTGTTGAGGGAGGAATTTAATGTACACTGAACATCTGGGATAGCCTCATCCCATGTAGTACAACTTGGGTTAACGGTTACTCTGAGCACCTCCAGGACTTTGCGATTTGTACGTTCAGCAAGACCATTACTCGCAGGGTGGCGTGGAGCTACTGGCGCTTGATGAATGTTGAATCTGGAGCAAAAGATCATGCATTATGCCATTTATAAACTCAGACCCATTGTCGACAGAAGGACACGTGGGCAAGTATGACGAGAACAACATGCTCACGGAAAGCACTAGCGACCGTTTCAGCGGTTTTATCAGGAATGGGTACTAATTCACTGTACCGCGTCAAGTTATCTACCATTACAAGCAGGTGCTTATTTCCCTTCTCCGAGGTCGAGAAGTTCGTCAACAGGTCGACAGAAGTTCTCTCCCAGGGCTCCTTTGTAATGGGATACTTTAGAATGGGGTTAGGACCTGTATGGTACCCTTGTGCTGTAGGCAGACAACACACTGGTGTACATGCTTGGCAATGTCCGATGCCATCTTAGGCCAGAAATATTTCATTCGTGCCTGTACGTATTGGACAGGCTAGCTCAGGCAAATCTTAAGGTAAAGCTCTCCAAATGTCATTTCCTCGCGGAAGAAATAAAATTTTCTGGTCACGTAGTAACTCAGAATTGCTTAAAGACGGCGAGAACATGCAACACAAAAAAAAACTCACTGGCTGGAGATACGTAGAGCGCTGAGTAGTAGTAGACACTTATGAATGAGTACCGACTCTGTTAGACTCTAACTTTTGCTGGCTTAGGGCTAAGCCTACGGGTCCCAATGCTAAGCCCAAGGTCATAGAACTTCTTGAGGAACTGGAAGAACACAAAACACATGGAACGGCGAGAAGGGTAGGACGCTGTAGGGAGCAGGAGAATGGAGCTGGAGAGTGTTGAAGGCTGTAGAGAGGGTGAATAGGTGAACCAATCTGACTGCTAAGGCTGTAAGGATGACGCCGTGATGCCTATGTCCCCATTTGGGGGAAAAATCTAGGACTAAGATCGATCTACTCCGGTCCCTCAAGACGCTGGAGTAGCAGAATAACTCTTTATGCTAAACAGGTGCGTTGGATGACGACGATGAGGTTTGACTGTGTCGACCGAATCCCCTCCACCCTGAAAGCCACAATGGCCGGCTGACTCCGCTGGTCACCATGTTATTGCTGTTCTTACCTGTTGAAACAGCGTTTAGTGCCGATGAAAGTAGCGTAGGTAGCAAATGATACGGCCGGGAACGAGATAGGGCGTTAATCGGAGAGTGATACCACCACGCATGTGTGAGGAAGTGACCGCAAGCCTGTCCGTGGAGGGGAGAGAACTTTGTACGCAAGTCCTCCAGGCGGAGTGAGAAGGGTGGACTTGTGTGTCCCACCGGACCATAGGTAGGCCTACAGCGGCACACGAATGCCGCGAATCATGAACTAGTCAAGCAGACGGCGAGCTGTGTGCTCTGCCAGTACAGGCTGTCTACACGATCTCTATACTCTAGAAGTTATGCATCTCTTAATACATATA